ACTAAGGACCCCCAGAGGAGGGGGTCAAAGTTTGGGATGGAAACAAGAGAACAAGCATGTGTTATTCCTGAAAAAAATCAAAGAACTTTACGAATCAGGGTTGTCTTATTAAAATATCTGTCATTTGAGGCCATTCCCGAGAAAATATTTGTTATAATCAAATCATATTCACATTTGGGAATTTCTTTTTCTTGCTACCTTATCAATACTTTGCTCTTTTTATTTGTAGTTGATTGTTGTTACTTGTTTCTTTAATTTACTGATGCCTCTAGTTGTGTTATTAAAAATCCTGAAAAACACTTCTTCCACCTCTAAGAAGATGATGGGGATGATAAATAATACATGTAAAATAGTTATTCTACCACAGAGACTTGGCAACAAATGTATGAATGAATAATAATAATAATGGCCACTATTTATTAATGGAAACTACTAGTGTCTGGCCTCATGCTAGGTGCTTTACATGTATTTCCCTTATCCTAAAAATAACTCCAGCAAGGTATTGTTATTCCTTTGTAAAGATGAGGTGACTATAGTTCAGAGCCATCATATGATGTCCCCAAAATAACCCCTCTAGTAAGTGGCAGAGCTTAGAGTTCAATCTACAGCCATCATCTCGAACCAAGCACTCAATCATTATGTTGTACTGTCTCCTTGGGAGTGAGGAAGGAATGGATGGCAGGAGGAAAGAAAAGAGGGAGGAGGGAGAGAGGGAGATAGGAGAAAGGGGGAAGTAGGCAGAAAACAAGAGGGATGGGGAAAAAGAAAGGAAAACTTGAAAGTCATAGTAAAAGTTGTCAAGTTCTACAGAGGATGGTCGGACAAAACAGCCTCTCCCACATGCGAAGCCATGCGCAATGCCTTGGCAAGGGATGTGAAGTTATCTGGGGCATAAGGTACAAATAAGAAGTATTTCCAGAAAGAATTTTTATTTCAAAGTTAATTCTTGGACTAAGATACAGGAATTTGATTTGGATTAGTTCTTCCACAGGAACAGGAAGTTGGGTGAAAAATGTTTAGAATGGGAGAACTCAGTGGTAGAAGGGAACTTCCAAGTGACCTGCCCAAATATCTGAGCTGTTAGGTGATCACTCATCAGGATTTTTCACCACTTTTGGGGGGTCAGGAAGTATATGGCTGTCAATAAACTCCTAAGCTGGTCTCAACACTGTCCTGGTGGCCCCTTCTTCCTGTCATATTTTGCCCAGACGTAGAGGCCTGTCTTAGGGAGAAATATTTGGAATGAAGGTAAAACCCGCATTTATAATTGTTTACTTCTTATCAGGAAAATCAATTCCAAAAACTTTGAGGCAGCAGCTAAATGTTCCTAAAGAGTCTTTAAACAGCTCCCAAGGTTACTTAGGGCTAAGCAGGAGAGATCACACTTCTAAAAGATCCCAGTCACTTAAAGATGCAGCAATTGCAAGAAAACAAGCTGTGAAAAATAACAAAAGTATATGAGACTCCTTACATGTCCGTGGAGGCTATGGTGGATTTAATTCCCACTGGATTGACTGACCAGACACAAGACTATGGGACTCTGCAGATTATCTTGTGATTAGAAAGGGATTTTATTTCCCCCTTTTAGAAAACATTTATTGAAAACTTAAAGTCAGCTTTGGCCTGCATTTACAGAAGAGTAACTGGACACGACATAAAGTTAAGATCTGGGAAGTCCTATTGAAGTTATTGGTTCTAGTCTCGCTGGGATTCACTTTTCCTCCATGACTGTGAGTGGGAAACCACAAAGGAATGGCCACAGGCAGGTAAGGGTCCCTCGCGTGTCTCTGGTCTCTAGAGCAGATGACAGCTGTGCTCACCATCCTTAAGAGGGGAGCCTGCTTGCAGGCACTCTGCTTAGTCAAATTCTTTCCTCTCTTCCCCCAAAGTCTGTGCATTTGCATAGATTAGGCCAGGTTGTTCCTGTCTCAGGGTTTTTTTTTTTTTGTTTTTTTTTTAATGATTATGGATGTTTAGAGACTTCCACATCTACACACCCAAACTCTTCCTTCCATACTCTAAAAATGGCAACAGGGCCTTAGTTTAGGGTGTTATTTTCCGGCCTGATGATATTTCTTTTTTCGTTGTTGTTAAGGGAAAAATTCCAAGTGACATTTCACTAAGAAACAGAGGTTAGCTTACCTGATCCAGAAAACCAAGCCTCACATCTTGAAATACTATGGATGTTAAAGAAAATGAAGTGTGAACTTCTGTGGGTGGAGAGAGGAGGGGCACCATACATTTACAATGACCTGAGTGGCTATTTGGACGCAAAGAACAGAGAGGTTTTATGAGCCATCTCTATTCCCTCACTAGTATGTGGTGACAAGCAGGGGCCAGTAGCCCCGGCCACGAGCAAGCCACCCGTGGTGGGGGCATTGAATGCTAGTGATCAAAAGGCCCATGTGTGGGTCACCCATGAACAGAGATCCCCTTTTGTCAGAAATGACACAATGTCACAGTAACTGCTAACAGCCAGCGATACCAGTGGGGGAGTCTGTGTGCCAATTTCTTCAAAATTTTATTTTTCCAATACAGAGAGAGGTTAGACTCTCTCCTAGAATACTTTAAAAAAAAAACCAAAACCAAGTCTTCTTGTCTGTTGCCCACAGTTTGAGGCCAGGTCACCAGAAGCACTTTTTTCGTGCCTAAATTTCCCACACACGTATGCACGTGCACACATGCGTACAAAACTGCTTTTCTAAACTTGCAAATCTGCCCACTTTTATCTTTGATCTTAATTCCAGTATAATATAGATTTTCCGAGACGTGATTTCTTAAATCGACAGCAATTTTTTTTAATGGTTAAGAAAGTCCAAATAATGATGGGTCCCTAGCTATTTTCTTTTGAGAACTTAAGTAATTTAATGGGGATGATTTTTTTTTTTTAAGCTTTTATGGCCAGGTGGCTCTAGGGGATATTTTGTTGAACACTGATTAAAAATAATTTCTTCTAAATGAGACCTGACCACAAAATGGAACTATTAATGGGCAGGGACGTTGTCACCAAAGCGGAAACCATGGCTGATTGCCTCTTGTACCTCCCACCACACAAGCATTTTCTTCTTTTTCTTCTCCTTTTCTTGTTCTTAATAGCAGAGTAAATAAGCAGCCAGCAAAGGCCTACATGTTTTCGGCCAGAAACAGAGTCCAAACTTCTCAGAGAAAACATTTGGCCTCTGTGGTTTTGTAATATGTTCCAGAACACCGAGTTCAGTGAGGAACATTGTGAAAAACTCCCATCCATTGGAATGGTGGTGGGGAAGGCTACAGTATCAGAAGTTTCAATTGGTCCTTTTCCTGCAGGCCCATAATGAGGCTTGTAAAAAAAAAAAAAAAAAAAAGAAAAAAAAAAAAAAAAAACCCATAGTGCTGTGTAGAAGTTCTCATGGGAAAAATGAATGGCAAGAAATCCTAGCTTTAAAAGAAACAGCTAATCTGCTAGTTTGATTGTTCTTCAAAACTTACGCTGAACCAATGAGCCTAATTAAAAACACTTGGCCTACTTCTATAAAGCATCATAGCTTTCTCTATGCTTCGTTTGTATACACCACAAAACTCCAGATAGACTATTATTTTTTCAAGTGCTCACTAACAAAGTGCTGACTTTGTTGGGATGGCTGAGCTAATTTCTTGAACTCAGTGTGAAACCTTAGCTAAACAAAATTGTGGTAATTTTCCTTAATTTGTAAAAGTGATTGGAGTGCAAACAAAATTTTCCTCTTGGGTCAATCCTATAATTTTCAATTAACTAAAACTAATCGTCAGGCAGGCACCAAACCTGCATTTTGTTTAAAGGGCTGGGAGGCATTTCCAAGGGTCAGGATATATTAATTGTTTTTATAATTTTCAGAGAAAGAGAGAGAGAGAAAAAGAAAAACAAGAGAGAGAGAGAGAGAGAGAGGCTGAGTGACGACTAAGAAGCATGTCTGGTTTTGCTCCTAGTATTAAAATACAAGGGAAAGATGCTTTGAAGTAAAATGTCACAGCAAAATAAACTTTGTCCGTTTAATTGTATGATTATAATTAGGATTATTAACAGACTTATCCCTTTACTGCTCTGGAATCTGTGTGTGAAGGCAACTTCCACTCTGTACTTAATCTGGCCTTGTGGTCTTTTATTGAATGAAGAAGGAGATCTGGGACCAGTCTGTGGGGACGGCTACCTCTACAGGGGGGCAACTGATACTAAGCAGAGGGGCCAGAACGTCACTCCCCCAAGTTTGGTGCTTTGACCAGCAGCATCAGTCTCACCTGGGAGCCTGTAAGAAATACAGAATCTCAGGTTTTCCCCAGACCTACCCTAGCAGGATCCGAATTGTAAAAAGATCCCTGGGTATTTGGTTTGCACATTACAATCTGAGATCTCTTAGAGTACACACTGGGCACTCAGCCTGAGTGCCTGATGTATTTCCACAGAGATCTTGCCTGGTTCTCTGTGTCTAACGGGACGGGAATTCATATTCACCCTGCAACCCTAGCTTCTTACCGCAAGGCTGGTCCATGTTCCCAGGCTGTTTGGGGAGAACAAAATGCAGTTTACTGGGGAACAGAGCACCAACCCAGAATTAAATCTGAAAATTACCAATTGTATTTAATACAAATGCTATGAGCAGGCTAGAAGAGCAAACAAACCCCAACGAGCTGGCTTAACATGCAGAAAGACTCAGGATTGTCTACACCTCTTTCCCCTTCTCTTATTTCTCATGCTGCATCTTTAGCTAGCCAACCAGTTATATCAATAGATCCTACCATTCAACAGGGAGACCTAGATGAAGTCTTAGTAGTGGTAGTAGTAGTAGTAGTAGTAATAATAATAATGATAATAATAATAATAGAAGCAACTCATTCGATTGTATATATGGTGAAATGGAGAAAGAAAGCAGGCCTTAACAGAAACTGGATTTAAAAGTAAAATACATGCTTACACATACAAGACAAAGTAAAAGACGCCACAAAACCGAGGCAGTTCTGTGTTCACCCTTTGCAGTGGTTCTTACCTGTGTAAATGAATCTGCCTGGCGTTCCTTTGCAGAACTGCTTGGATTTGTAGGACAGTGTGACTTCCACAACACCAGGGATGTGCCGAGGAGGGGTCTGCACACGGATGGCATGAGGAGTAATCAACTGGAGGAGACATTGGGGGAGGGGGAGGAAGAATTGTCATTGCAATATGTTAAGGAGTCATTTCACAGCTTTCCTATCAGCTCTCCATAAACAAAGCTTTAAAACACATAATTAACCTGTCAATGTTTAAATACAATCTTGATGGACCCTTGTATGAAAGACACTGACAACAATATTTACAAGTGCTCTGGGTACAGCCATAACAACATTATCTGGGTTTTCCTACACAGCAGGCCCTCTGCTTCCTGGTTTGAAAAGGGAACCTGGCCTAATGAAATGATTTATCTATCACAGGATATCCTTTGGAAAAATCTCTGTTTGAAGCAGACACCCGAATCAGAGCTGAGCGCTGCCATGCCTCTCCAGAAGTCGACGGGCCTGGTGTTTGAACGGAGCCCTTAAACATGTGCAAAACACAGAGGTGGGAAAACAGTAGGCCAAGGCACTCTGATCAGCTGCAGAGCACACGTAAGGAATGGCCCTGAAGACCATTTGGCGCATTAACTACCAGAGGCACAATCAAAGAGCTTTAGAGGGAAACCAAAGAATCTGCCTCCCTGGACTAGCTTATGGCTCTGGCAGGACTCAGGACTGTCCATAAAAGGGGAGCGGAAGGCCTGGGAGGCTGCACCACGGTGGCTGGTCCATTATGCAATGCCACATGCACAATGAGAAAGTTCATTTCTGCACTCTGTTGGCAATCAGATTACTCTGTGAAGCAGAATTTATTTTTTATTACTCTTATCTTTGTTTATATAACTAAAATGTTATTAATGGCCATAAAACTGGCATTATCTGGTTCTTTGAAAAATCCAGCCCTGGTATTTGACGGGTTGACCCCTGATGGTGCTGGACTCTACATGTTCTCTCTCTACAGGGCCTGCAATTGCCTGCCCCTTGACTTTTTTCAGATGCACTTAGCTCTCAACATTTGTGGAACTGAGTCTGTATACAGTGGATAATGTATACAATATACATGAGTTTATGCTATAATAGTGTATGTTTGTGCTGTTCTCAAGGGGATAACTTATAAAGGACTTTTATTTTAATGTGCAAACCAGGCCCAGTGCAAGTGTTTCCCCCACCAATCAAAGATTACACCATGAGAGGCAGAATACAACCCTTGGGTGCCCCTGGGTAAACTGCGCTAGCACCAAGTCCTGGTGAAATGAATGTGAGAAAGTGGCTAATGCTAAAGCCCACAGGAACTTTCTGTCAAATGTTCCTTCTTGAAACAAAGAAAAGGCCATCCGCATAAAAATCATTTCGACTTAGCAATTAAAAATGCATTATCCTCTTTCATAAAATATATGTAGCCTTAGTTTATTTGCTGAAGACACACAGAAGATATTTCAGTAAGACCATGCTTATGCAAAACCCTTAGAAACTGAGTTCATCTCCATGGCTGAGTGTTTCGGATGGCTAAGGGTTTACCCAAAAAAGCACAAAAAATTTTTTCTTAAAATCTTGTTCTCTTCATATTGTAATTCTTCCAAAATGCATTGTATGCTTTCTAAAAGTAAGCAAAGTGTATATAATTTAACTTTGTCTCGGTAAACCAAGATTATCATTTGGAACACCCTGCATTATATCTTGCTGTTATATAGAAAGGCCCTAAGCAACTCCTGAGCTAGGAAGGGCTATTTTCCCTCACACTAAATAGCTCCAGATAGCTGTGATTTTGAAATTGTTTCTAATTTATTCTCTTTCTTTGTCTTTTTCCTTCCAGTGTTCTTTACACCTTCTAATTTACTCTGGTAATCTGTAAGCATAGAAACCAGGAAATCAATTTTTAATATTGGATAGAAAATAGGAGAGGAAAGAGGTTTTGAAGGGCAATGAAAGATGATCTCCAAATCAAGCGCATGTTAATCTCAACTGTTCGGATATTGTGTTATTGCAGTGTTGGGAACTAACACTTGTTGACTACCTAGGAAATATCCACCACATTGCTGGGGATTTTACATATAAATACTAATTTGGTCAGAACAATGACTGTATTTTCAGTTTCTTTTTTTTTTTTTTTTTCAAATGTGAAACAGAACTTTAAAATGATTAAGTTGCTTGCACAAGATTATCCTTGTTAGTCCCAGTTAGCACAAAAGGTGATTTTCAATACAGTTCAAAAAAATGGCAGGGACATATACTTCCTCTCTAATCAGAGAGAAGAAATTGTTCCTATGGAAACTTCGTAAAGGTATCAGTTTTTTTCAGATCCAAAGAGACTATGTTTTTTTTTTTTTTGTTTTTTGTTTTTTGTTTTTTTTGCCATACCTGTGCTATCTCCATTTTTCATTTATTGCCTGGTCCTTTGCTGTGTTTTTAATAGTGAAGGACATCACACTGTCACATTCCAAATAGAAGGTATGCTTTTATTTTTAAGAGTTACTTCAGATATTGAGTGGCATTAATTCACAATAATACTTAGAAGAACTTTCAGTCAGTTAGAAAACACTTCACCTGCCCTCCCTTTTCTAAGGGGAAATAAATTTTAAAAGATGGAAAGATATCAGTAAATAGATGGATGAAGATTTCTTTTTAAGTATTAAGGACTTAATATGTATGAGTTGCTATATTGAGGAACAAAATTCATGGGCTTTATGAATAGATTAGATATGACTACAGTAAAACTACTGACTGAGAGTGGGGCTTTTGCATAAAGCATTAGACTCAGGAAATTCAAACAAATCTTCATTTACAATTTCACTTTCGATTTTAATTAATTGCCCAAACTGAGGCAGAGATTCCTTCTTGAAACAACTACCTTTCACAAATGAGGTAGAATCTGAACCATAATTAGAGAATGAATTTGTCGATGTTCTCCTGGCTGTGGATGCTAGTCTGGGAGGAGTCTCCAGCACTGACACATGATATCGATGCTTACTGAGGAAAAACATTTTAGCTAACTTTTATCAATTTGAAAGCACTGGGTTATTTATGAATCACTCAAAGAATCACAGAATTTATGTCGGGAAGGAATGCTAGTGATCGTTTAACGTTACTCTGCTCATTTTAATAGCTAAGGACATAGAAGTTCAGAAATGTCTAGTGGCTTCAGACACTGACCCGACAGCCTAGAGCTGTGGTCCCCCACCCCCCTGGGCTACAGACCAGTACCGGTCCCGTGTCCTGTTAGGAACTGGGCTGCAAAGCAGGAGGGGAGCAGCGGGCAAGTGAGCGAAGCTCCATCTCTATTTACAGCAGTTCTCCATCGCCTGCATCCCCGCCTGAGCCCTGCCTCCTATCAGATCAGTGGCAGCATTAGATTCTGCATTATGGTAAGTTGTATAATTGTTTCGTTTTATATTAAAATGTGATAACAATAGAAATTAAGTGCACAATAAATGTAATGTGCTTGAATCATCCTCAAACCATCACATCTCCCCCATCTGTGAAAAAATTGTCTTCCATGAATCCGGTTCCTGGTGCCAAAAAGGTTGGGGATTGTTATCCTAGAGGAAGGATGGGGGTCTAGATCTGAGGGTATAGAACCCATGACCAGCAAACCCCAGGATAAATTTCACGTGTTGCTCCAGCCTGGTTGAACTAAGGGTGGCCACTCTAAGCAATACAGAAATGGAGGGCTAGTCTAAATTTTCCAAATTTCCATCACTGGAATATCACTTTCTCAGTTTTGCAATATCTATATACCACCTATACCATTATATGCTTAATATTTTTTTAAAAAAAACTTACAACCTTTTTATTTAAAAAAATTATTTTATAAGGAAACTGTATGTCACTACTATACTTAGAAAACTGGTATCACCTGCCAAAATAAGAAGGTATTGTAGATGATAACCTTAAAGTTAATATGATGTAAATTCTAGCTGGATATTTTTGACAACCTGAAGAAGTTTATTGAAAAGGGTGATGAGCTAGTGTTAAATGTTAAAGACTTGTTTTCCCCAAATGAGACTTTATCCCCTTAATGTGAACCAGAATCATGGAATGAAACAAAGGTTAAAAGAGAAACAAAAAGAGTGATTAAAAGAGAAGTCAAAAAAGGAGACTTTCTCACTATGTGATTCAGTTCTACTTAATGTCTGTGTCAAGCCCCAAATTGTCTTTTCCTGTACAACAGAAGCACAAGCCCCATACTTTGGTAAATACTGTTCTAAGTGATGAGAGGACAATTCATTCTTTGACTTAACTTCTTTAAATTACAAACCAAATGATTTGGGCTAGAAATAAATATTCATCTGAAACTCTATAGCATCTGACACTACTCTCTCCCTTCTTGGAACTTTTCATTTTCTTCTCTTCTGTGACACTAATTATAAGACTTAAGACTTGCAAAGTATTTGATGGTTTAGCAGAGTGCTTTCATACTCACTATCTTTTAAAACCCATCCTCATGGTTTATATACTCCAGATGAGAAAAGTTAACAGTGAGGCAAGTTAACTCATATTATTAATATTTGAAACACTAGGAAGAAAACCAATCTCTTATGCCTGTAAATAGGGTTTTACAGAGCTCTTCCTAGTTATTTTGGTTTTCCTCATTGGCTTCATTTTTCTGCCAACTTGTTAATTGCATAAATTTCACAATTTCTGGTCCTATTTTGTTTTTCTCTTTTGACTTGCTTAACACTTTTTGAGTTCACTCATTGTTGTCTCAACCACCTCATCTAAACTGATTTCCAAATCTACACCTGTGGACTCGATCTCTTTGGCCAACCACCAAACTTTTATCAGCAGCAGGATAACAGAATCTCCCCAAACATGTCTTTTTGCTACCACAATCTTAACCTGATCCAAGCTAAATTTATCATCTCACTACCTCTAAACATATTTCTTGCTCCTGTGTTCCCTGTCTCAGCTCAAGGAATGCTATCTTTCGAATCACTCAAGATAGAGAACGTGAGGTTATCTTTATTCTTTTTTCTCTCCGTGTTTTTAAAGTCATGTTGATTTTCCCTCCACTGGACCCCACTGGCTCTCCTTTGCTTTTCCACCTTGTCCTGTTGAAGTTGTCCCCATTTCTTACTCAGACTATT